CCACCACCCCTCGTATGCTTTGCCTCTGACCGCCACCGTTCCCAGGCTGCCAAATGCGATGGAAAGGAAGGCTCGGCGAGCGTATAGAAGCGTGCTCGACCTCGTCGTGGCAACCTGCACGGCAGCGCTGGTAGGCGCGATGAGCGTCGTGCCACCTGACCCGAGACGGGTCGCAGGCGTCGTACCGAGCGCGTCGAGACCGTGTCCTGATGTGATCTGCACGGGTGAGTCACGTCGGCGTCAAAGGAGCGACGCGCGACCTGTCAGAGCTTAATCACCGATCTCAGCTGCCTCTGCGCGTCTGGGGATGTACCTTTGTCGCGCGCCGGAGACGACTCGACGCCGCTGAGATCGGAGATCAAGCTCTGACAGGTCGCACGTCGCTCCTTTGACGCCGACGTGACTCACCCGTGCAGATCACATCAGGACACGGTCTCGACGCGCTCGGTACGACGCCTGCGACCCGTCTCGGGTCAGGTGGCACGACGCTCATCGCGCCTACCAGCGCTGCCGTGCAGGTTGCCACGACGAGGTCGAGCACGCTTCTATACGCTCGCCGAGCCTTCCTTTCCATCCCATTTGGCAGCCTGGGAACGGTGGCGGTCAGAGGCAAAGCATACGAGGGGTGGTGGAACCACATGTCACGGCTACTGCCGGCTCGACCCCACGATAGCCTCCGGAGGCTGACTTTGAGGCACAATCATCGGACGACGTCGGCGAGTTGAGTCGCGCTCGCGGTAGCCAGATGACCTCTCATACTAGTATCATCGGCCATGGCCGCAGGAAGCGCGGGGGAGGGCGCTGGGAGCAACACGGAGCTCCGTTGGACGTTTTCAAGATTAGCGTGTCAGAGTGAAATGGAACTAGCCAGGAGCGCGGCGCGGGCGGCGGCGCGGAGCCGGAGGCGGCCGGGCGCCGGGGGGAGAGTGAGCGTGCAGGGCGATAGGATACAAAAAGGGTTCTCTCACCCGCCGCAGGAGACGTCCTCTCGCGGGGGAACAGAGTAAAGACCCACGCGCAGCCTCCGCTCCCTCTCATGAGATGTGCTGGGTCGGAAGGTCGGCGGGGAGTCCGCGGGAGAGAGGCAACACACTCGCACGGGACAAAAGGCGTCGCGCGCCGGCTCAGGGCTTTATGCTGGCGCCGGTGAGCACCTTGTGACAGAGGACACGCAGCGCGTCTCGCGTGTCGGAGGGCGGGAGCAGGCCTGCGGCATCGCGATCTCCGCGTGAGGGTGCGAAGAGGGCGGCGCGCAGCGCACGCAGGACATCGCATACGCGCGCGGGCGTACGAGCGCCGGTGAGTGCAGTGGGTGCAGCTGCGTGCGTCTGTACGCGGCATCTAAAGAGGCGAGCCCAGCGAATCGACGGCGACCTGCGCTTGCTCAGTCGCGAGCTCCTGTGTGCGCGACACGGCCAGGAGTCAGCCTCTAGGATTTGTCGCCCTGCTCATGGCAGCCGAGCGATGGACCCCCCCCCCCCCACACACCCACCCACACCCACCCACCCACACCCACCCACACACACACACACAGAAGCAAGGCCTCCTCGAGCTGGTTAGAGGAGGGTCGGAGGGAGGGAGAGAGGGAGGCTGAGCGGACGTCGGTGTCTTGTGCTTGCCTGCGCGCGCGCCACGGCGCCTGGCCTCTCAACCATCTCGATCTCGTGCGATCTCGTGCGATCTCGTGCGATCTCGCGCGAGTGTGCCTGCGTGCGCGCCACGGCGCCTGACCTCTCAACCATCTCGAGCGCCTAATTAATTCACGACGCCCGAGTGATTAGGAGCCGACTACTCCCCTAGGCGACCCCTCTCCGCGATCGCGAGCGCCAGCGCCGCGTCGGACTCATCGCGGAGGCCGCGGGAAAGCACCTGGAGCCAAACACACAACGCAAGGAGTGAGTGAGTCCTTTGCCGCCCCCTCCGAACGACCGAGCTTGCGCGGCTTAGTTCGG